TTCCCCCTGCATACAGTCGGCTTATTGATACTGACCTTTCTGAGGCACTTTGAGATCTACAGATGAAAAACACCAGCTAGAGGGGAAGGATGGCCCAGTGGTTGTTGGGCACTAGTCTGTGACTTGGGAAACTCAGACAATTCTCTGCTACACTACAGAATTCCTGTATGAGCTGGGGCAAGTCACTTTAGGCACCTAGCTTCCCTTGAAACCAGTGATGTTGCCTGAGTCTGCAGAGAGCCTGAGCCAATTGCTCTGAAATCAATGGAAGTTACGTGCTTAAATACCTGTGAATTTCTAGGCTTCAGTTTCCCCATCTGTAGAATGGGGATAATAGCACGGCCCCAGACCGAGATGTGGTGGGAGGATAAAGACATTAATGAAGCCTGAAGCGCTTTGAGCTCTACTAATGAAAAGCACTGTGTAAGAACTAGAGATCATTTATTGTGCTGGCTTTAATGGCGCTGGGCTAAGTCACGGTAGATGGGAGCTGATCCCCACGGCCTTATTTTTACAAGTAATGGTAACTTGCAGCTTGCTCTGAAGTCATCTGAGCGGCTGATTCTCCTCCGGCTATGGCAGTGTGCAGCTGATCTTTATGATGGTTTTGTTATACTCGTGGGAGGCTGGCTTGAACTCGCTCACCAGTTTCTCGAGCTCCTGAATCTTCGCCTCCAGTTGGTCTCTCTCTACAGCGCCCAGGATCGCGCTGAGAATCAAGTCGACACCCACGCCCAGTAACGCGCCAGCCATGGCGCCGACCACAGAGGCACCGATCTTGGCCAAGACCATGGTCGTTTGGGTCAGGACTCTGCTCACCACCTGCGATAACGCCAGCTTGATGAAGATCCCCATGGCCACGGTCCCAGCGAGGCCGCTCACCGCCGTGGCCACAGAGCGCAGAATCTGCATCTTCTTGGCATCAGGCTCCTGGAAATCATGAAGCTTTCGGTAGAGAACTGGCTCCAGTTCGCTCTTCAACCTCGCATCGATGGCCTGCAGCATGTCTTGGATGGACTTCATGGCTGCGAGGAGTACGTCGCAGTTCTCCCGGACGGTGCCGTTCCTGTTCATCTTAATGGGGTGCAACTTGAACTGACAGTGTGTGTTTAAGACTCCCATCAGCTCGTTGGTGGTATCAAAATTGAGCTCTATGCAGTTGATCAGCTCCTGGTGTAACCGCACCACCTTCTCCCGCCTCGCTGGGTTGTCTGGGTACAGGATATCGCTCCAGGACATTCTCGAGAGAGCTGCCAGGAGAGGAAGAGGAAGGAGGCGTTAGCCAGCACTCCCCACTGCACCCCCCTCCCCCCCGCAAATCACAGACTTGGCCAGTGCAGAGACTCAGCTGCCATTAAAACAAAAAAGTCTCCAGGGCTCCGATCCCCAAAGGACTTTAGGTGCCTAATTCCCGTCAGTCCGTGGGAGTTCTGCGCCTAAACACCTTGGAGGTTCTAGGGAGGAAGGACTCGGCCAGTGGGTCCCGCACCCCCGAAAGCGTCACACCCCAAACCACGGGGTCTCGGGAGGAAAGTGCAGCAAGGACCCAGCCAGAGCCTCCAGCTGGGAGAGGGAGAATCCGCCCAGCATCCTCGGGGCTCTCAGCCCTGCTCCCCAACAGACCCTCAATGGCCAGAGATCCCCCTCGCCCCCGCAGTGCCCCAGCTACTGCCCCAGACACCCCCACTTCTCCCCCCACGTTACCTCCCCACATTCCCCCCATCTCTGTCCCAGCATCCACCCCCTGCACCCCAACACCTTCCAGCACCCCGAATCCATCCACCCCAGGAGCGCGGCAGCATCCCCCATCTACCCGGCCACCTCCTGCCCCAGCCGCGGAGCTGCCCAGTTCCCGGCAGTTGCATGACTTGCTCCCTCCCCCCTGCTGCCCGGGGGGCCCAGCTGTGGGGCAGAAGCTGCCATTTCTGGCTGTCTGCAGATTAGCCCATGAAGTAATTTGCTCAAAACGCCAGGCCTGGAGCTGGTCGCAGCTGGGCAGCTTTGTTCTGGCTTCAAGGGGCACCTGGGGATAGTTTCATTTTTTGCCTCCTCCCCAGAGCTGGGCGCAGTCTCTAGTCAGGGTCTCCCGCTATCCGGAGGGGATCCCACCTCCCGGCTCCTACTCGCTATTCACCCGTTTCCCCAGCCCAGGGTCGCGCTCACCCGCTTGGCCACAGCATCCCCTGGGGCGCTCACGGGCAGCTGGTTCCACAGGACACCTGGGTCCTTCCCAGAGCTGCAGCTCGCCAGGGTCCCACTTTGGAAAGCAGAACTCCCTCCCCCGCATCGGTTACAGACAGGGCAGCTCCCCCCTCTCACAGCGACCCCCCCCCCCAGTCTGTGGGTGACCGATGTTCTTTGTCCCTAGACATGGCACCTTGCCAGGGGCTGCATGAATCCCCTGTTGTTGGAGGAGCCCAGTTCGCCAAGCGATCCGGGGGCTCTCACTGCACGACCCCTGCTCCGATTCGTGTCTCCGCCGATGGGGCGAGTTACCTGCTCGCTGGGCGGGGGGGAAGCCGAGGGGCCGTTCGCCTGGGCAGAGGTCAGCTCGGGTCCGCGGGCAGCAGCCTGGGCTCTCCGGAGAGGATCCCTTTGCTGTGACGCTCCCCGCACGCCGGAGCGGGGACTCTCGCCTTTATAGGAGGCTGGTCCTTGCTGTCACTTCCCAGTCAGCCGCCGAGATCCCATTGGCAGACCCGGAGCCAGCTGTGGTCAGGAGCGCGGTGCCAGTGGATGTCACATGGGCCTTAAAGTGGCTGCTTCGTGCCTGCGGCTTCCAGTTCCCCGCGTGGTTTCCAGGAACTCGAGTCTGGCTGGTTTCCAAGCCCCCGTTTGCGCCTCAGTCACGAGGGGCAGAAAGATCCAGGATCGAATCAATCCATGAGCCCGGCCGGGCCCCCGCTGCGAGCGCCTGCTGCTGGCAGTGCCCGGGGGAATTGCTACCCCGCCCTTTGGCTTGTGCCAACTTCCCCTTTCTCCCC